CCCCCCCCCCCCGCCCGGTGAGCGCACGTACCTGCGTTCGGTATCCCGACCGCGGCGCCCCCCCTCGGCCTTCCCCTACCCCTTTTCTCGCTATTTGGGTGGCAGTGGGCCTCCCGAAACCATACAAATCCCGTCCACCATCGTCCTCGCCACCGACGACACCAGCCCCTCCTAAAGCCTCCCCCTCGTCCCCCCACGGCAGGGTCTTGGTGTGCTTGTGTTTCCACGTAGCATTTCCGACGCCGTTGGCGGATGTGCCGTTGCTTCCGCCAATCGTGCCGCCTCCTGCGGCATACGGCGAATCGGCGATACTGCTAACAGCGCCGTCGGTGTTCCTCCGCCTGGCGGATGACGCCTCGATACGGCCCTGGCGAGGAAAGGGCAAACGAAGGCAACGACTCGGCGTACTTCACATACGTCGCGGTCATCGCACATCCTACGCTAGAGAAGGTGCAACCTATTCGAGCGAACAGCAGTAGCACTCCATAACACCAGGAAAATGGGCGAACTCCGAGACAGAGGCGAGAGGAAGCTGAGCGTTGCTGATTGGTAGGCGCCCTGGGCATCAGGTGCGGAGCCCGGTGAAGCGCTCCGCGCTCACGCGTGCCCAGTATATGCGTAGGTGATTTCGGTTTTTATTCGGGTCTACAGGCGGAGGACACCATCCAATCTTTCAGTCATGACGTACTGCAACACGAAACCGGTTCAAACAAGACACTTAGGCATGCATGCAGGCGACCGCCAAGAAATGGCTCACCAACAAATATGGGAAAAACAATCACGTCGCCAAAAAGGAGGAACGCACGACAATACGGCCGTGGAGGCTGGAAGTAGGTGCGCTGAGCTACAGTAGTACTATTTACTCCTTTCCGGAACTGCACACACACAGTATTGTACGGATCTGGTACGTCCTAGCGTGGAAATAGAGTATGGCTTTCGCCTAGAGTCACCCCAGCGTTTCAATAACGAACGAACCAGACCTTACGGCGACAAGCACACCGGCACACCTGCACCGCGGACGGCGAGTTATCCGTTACAATCGCTGCCCGAGGGCTCCCAAGCGATGCAGCAGCACCAGTGTCGCTGTTCCACTCCCGCCTCCTACCGTGCCTTGCCCTCGCAGCCTGCCTACCAGGACCTACCCTGCTACCCCCTCTCCGTCTATTCTCCCCCGCCTCCGCGCCCTCTCCCCCCCTCAACGATGCCAAGAATTCTGCATCTTCAGGTCTTCCTATTCCGTCTTTTGGTTCTGCTGGGTGCGTGTCCCCGTTCTCGTCAGTTGCGCCACCGCTGAACCGCCTTGTCGCTGCCGCCTCCGCGCCGCCGCCATGAACCGGCCCGTCTTTGCCTGCCGTCCGTCGTCCCGATTGCTCGTCACGCCCGTTACGCGGTTGACCAGGACGGTGTTCCTCGGCTACTGCTCCCCGCACGTGCGACCTTTGCTCCATCTCATGGCTCAGGGCGTCGTCTCCCGTTGCGGCAGCGGCCGGTCGCCTGCCGCCTTCCCCGTTGAAAGCATCACCAGCGCCGCGCTTGGTCGCGGGGTCATACTCGCCGCACGCGCCGCCGATCTGGGCGGCCGCTGTTTCTCTCGTTGGGCCGGTCCATCGCCCCCCCAGGTCTTCCCGGATTCTCCTCCGCCGTCCCCCCGTCCCCGCTTCTTCCCCTGCGCGTGGCGCGTGCGGTCGGTGATTGTGCTCGCTACCGGTGTTGTCCTGCTTAGACTCTGATTTGGTGGGGGAGAGCAGAGGTGGCGGCGCTACCGCCGAGCTGTGGCTGCTCGTGCTTCCAATTCTGCTTTGAGAGTCGCCGCCGCGTAACAGTATGTAATATGGGGATGACGAAGCAGGGTGGGTGAGACAAGGAACATAAGCTTGACAAGGCAGTCTTGTGTAGAGCGCATATTCTACCTCGGTCTTGAAAAAATCAACGAGTGCCCTGCCCTACCCTTTTGCTGGGAGTTTTGATGCATTCTGAGCACACGACCAGCCGGCAAAACGAGAATAGTGACAACCAGCTTAAGCGATGCGACGCACACAACAGCAGGTGCATGCTGTTGAGACTGGCGCTGCTATCCAGCCGCATGAGCGTATCCTGGTGGGCAGGGTTGATCGAAGTGTCGAAAAGCCAACCACGCCCGCGCACCTCGCGAGCCGCTGCCTGTCGACGTCGGAAGTCGAAACCGCCAGGCGATCCAGCGAATCCCTCGTCTCCCCGAAGTCCATCGCCCCCCTAACATCACCATCGGCCTTGTCGTACCCGTTTTCGCGGTAAATGTTGGCGCTCGTCCTTTTCGGAGGGAAAGCGCCGTCCATGTTGTCCAGCACGGTGAGGTCGTACGCCCCTTGCCTGCAAATCCAGATCCAATCGCCAAGGTTGATGACGTGATTTAGGGTTTGCACACAACAGCACTTGAAAGCGGTGAACGAAGGTGGGTGGTTCTCGTGGAGCTCGCCAGCGTAAAATCGATCGCTACCACGGGCACTGGGTTACTGTAGTTGGAAATCTGCAGTTCGGTTGGAGTCTGTGGTGCAGTAGCGCTCTGACACGGCCACGCCCTGACACGGCCGTGCGGCGCCCATGGCAAAACAGGTTGTCTTCCCCTCTATAGCAGTGAGTCCTCGACAAAGCCGGACGAAATATCGCCGGTGGCACTGTAAAGCACCAGGGTAAAATTGCTAGGTACAGACTAATCCATCAGCTGAAAATCACAAAGTCCTTCTGTGCTTTGAAAAGTACCCTTCCCTCTGAATAGCGCCGGTCGATTCGCCGGGCACACACTGGCGTTGTTGAGGGCCCACACCTGCCATACATTCCATTGGTCTACAGGCTGCGGGGGCTACAGGTTGCGGGGGACAACAGCAGCTGTGGGGAAATCCATCATTAACGTTCACTCGGGTATTGAAGCCGCTGAGCAACCGAAGACTTGCAACATGGCCAACCATGATTGCTTTGCGCTCACGTTGCGGAAGCATCCCCGACCCTGGCTCCGGGAGGAAGCTTGGAGCGGGCGCCATCGGTGCTGCTGAGCAGGTGGGGCTTGAAGGTGTGGTTCTTGTCAGGACTGCCCGATCGCCGTTTTTGCCGGGCCTACCACCAGGGGCACACGAACGATGTTTACGTCTCAGACTAGAGTAGCAGTCTGCATCATGCAGGACAAACTCGTTCGCAAGAGAATCCTCAATTCGACCTGCTGTGGCACTCCAGGATAACAAGGCCGTTCGGAGGGAAAGACTTGGCGACGGTGCATTTCGATTTGCGTTTAGTCCAAGCTTGTTCAGGTAGATAAGTGTGATCACGATCCCTTTTTCGGACGCGCACCACTTCCTCAGAGATGCGACAAGTCACCACCACTCAATTCAGACCACCACCTTATCGCAAGGGGCAACTGGATATGTCCTCGCCATATGCACATGCTCACAGGCAATGGCATTAGCCGCGCTACACGGGGTTCTACTGCTGTGTGTAAGAGACTACAACTCGAGTTCACGCTCGAAGACGACATCGCAGCTTCAAACCGACGAGGAATCTACAGAAGATGCCGCCAACAGGTGGAGCATGCAACAGATCCACAGGGATGCTTCGTGTACAGCGTAGTCTACTACAGCCGTGTGCGTGTTGGAACACTTCGACTAAGGAGCCTACAGCAGTAGCTAGTAGCTACACCACGGCAGCGGAGATCGGGCTATCGTGTACAACGTAGTACATACAATACGTAGGAGGCACACAGGTTCTCTGGTGCAAAGTGCAAACTTCAGAGAGTGCGAAGGAAGAGAGCTCTGCCGATGGGCTTCTTAACCTCGAACCCGTTTCACCAATACACGAACGAGTAGGTCGCACTGCATGTACTGCTATGTAGCCTGCCAGGCTTTACAGCAGTAGTGCCAAGTGCAGTTGCCTAACTTGCTTGTAACCGACGAGGGTGACCCGTGTCACGTACGCCGCTCTTTCTCTCTCGTACACTGCACCAGACCGACTCGTTAGAAAACCAACCACATCCCATCCCTGACCTGCAAAGCTCGCTTTATTCGCTCCTGTCGCTGCTTGGCCCATTCTGATGGGTCATAGTCCTTGCCGCTAGCATGTTGCATCCAGAAGCTTGCTCCGTTCGGGCGTGCTGGCAACAAAGATACCCGCCGTAGTTGCGAGCCAGATCATCCGAGCTGGTGCCGATATGTTCCCGACACGATTGCGTCCGACACCCCGACAGGGAGGTACACTGTGTAAAAGTCGATTGCCAAGGCTAGATCCAACGTGTTGTTTGTCCACGGGGTTGGTGGCCTGAAATATATCACACATGCGGCTATTGCAGCGGAGGGGAGACAGCAGTAGTCGAACAAGCACTTGAGAACGGGGGTTCCGCATAATCATGCTCGAAAAATATCAAATAGAGGGGGCGAGGGGGCAAAAAAAATGGGAATCACACAACAAATCAATGGCATGTGCATATGACATTCACATTTGCAACGAATCGTAGAAGCTGTCCAGTGCTCGTACATGACCCGAAAAGTAGGACGTCGTCACGAACCAGGGGACCTTTCACTCCGTGCATGCCGAATCCAGAGAAACGGGGGGGGAAATCGATGGCAACATGCGCCCACGCGCACGCTGCAGGAGGTGCAACCACTGCCGGCTACCAAGCGCGTGCTGCTGCTGCTGCAGGATCCTGTCAATGCGAGTCCCACTGTCACCCGAATCTCTCTCCGGAGGCATCCGATAGCCCCCCGGCACTCGTCGTGCTGCTCGAATATATCCACGCTAGGACCCCCGGCAGCCCCGCTGCGCTCGTCGCGCTCCTCGAGGCGGCCGCCGCCGGGAGCGACATGCTTCTTCCCGTGGTGATAGGGTCGTCGAAGGGCCAGCAGCCCGTTCCCAACTACTTGCCGATGCCTGCAGCACGAGGAGCAACAGTAGCAGGCGGAGTCCCTCCGGAGTTCCTCCTTCCACTTGCCGTGAAGCACAACTACTTGGACTGCGTGCGGGAACTGCTCACGCTGGGCGCCAATGTAGAAGCGGTGGACGAGATCGGGTTGACGGCGTTGCTCGTGGCTACACGGGCCGGGAACGTCTCGGCGATCGGCATCCTGATCGATCTGGTGAGAGAAAAGGTTTGAATTTTTGAAGTTGAAATATTTGTCGTCGCGTGCCCCTTGATCGCTTGTGGCGTCGTGATGGGGGTTGTCGGTCCCGCCAGGTAACAGCTCTGTTCTCGACATGCGGTACGACACGAAGCACTACTGCTGTGTGCTTTGTGGTCCATGTCTCTGCGTTTTTCCGCGTTACACAAACGCGCTTGCCGGTCGCAGGTACGGTGTACAGCGGTTGTTTGGGCGCCGCCCATCATTGCCCAGATGGAATTCTGTGTTGTTTGCTGTTGGTGTTTGTGGTCGGGCGCAACAGGATCTATGCAGGACAAAAAGGCTAGCGTTCCAGGGGCAGCGCAGCAGTCTTCGTCACCAGCACGCTCGCTGTTGTTGCTGCTACTTCTCGCTGTTGTTGCTGCTGCTGATGGTGTCGTTGCCAATGCCCCTTGTGGAGACCCGGCACGCTTTATATCTCCAACCGGTGTGTGTGTGTGTCTCATGATGTATATAGTCTATACCATGCATCCCGACCCTTCCGCGTGTGGTGTGCATGCAGGGCTCAGCAGACGTGAACAGCAGAGGGCAGACCGTGTGGACAGCTCTGGTGAGATGAGAACTTCTTTCAGGGTTGTTTGTTCAGCTGTAGCCAAGAGCAGCTCTTTTGCTGGCTGTATGCGTGTACCACGCGTCAAGAGGGGCTACAATAGTTAAGCGGCCTTGGTCTCCCGGTCCTGTAAAACTCATTACTTCGCGTGCAGTAGGGGTAGGGCGGCGGTGGTCGTTATAAATTCTTCTCAAAACGAATCGAACGGTACTTGTGTGTATGCGGCCGTGGTGTTCCACCAGCCAAGATGAGAAGGAAAAGTGTCCGGCCGCCCCTCCGGCCTGCCTATATCAGTGACACTTCCCGTCGCCAGCTTGATTATCGCATCGTCCGCCTGGCATGACCCCGGCGTACACCCGCACCCTCAGAAAAATCGAGCCTCACCTGTGCCGCGTTTTGTGCTTCGGGTGTGTGTTTCGGGATGCATGGATCCAAAATTTGTGTCGCGCACACGCGCCCCGTTCGGTGGTATTTCCAATAGATTCACCTTTTCCGACAGATGCGTGTGAAAGTTTCAACGTGCGTCGCATCAATATTCTCCAGCTTTTCAAGTAAATAAAGGCCGACAGCGATAAGAAATAGGTCAAGGGCAACCGCGTAATCCGCCCGCGTCTTTTCTACGCAGTACATGTATCCAGAGCCTGGGAGAATGGTGGGAGCCTGTATTCGAGAGCAATAATCTAATCCTGGCACCCATTACCTTCATTCGATTATTTTATTTTGAGCTCCGAGGAACGCAAGCACACAACCAGTGTTCACCCAATTCCTTGCTCAGGCGGATCCCCAAACGATAGTTGCGATTACTATCTTTCTTCTCCAACAAAAGTTGATAGTTCAGGTCGCGCGCATGGTTGGTACATCCATGAGGGATCCACCAAGGGTCCACACGTGATTTTTTTCTTCAGATTTTGCCCTCACTGAAAGGGTCATCTCTCTCTCTCTCTTACTCTCTCTTACTCTCTCTCTCGCTCTGCGCGTGTGTTAGTGTGTGCAGTACCGAGATTGGGGTGGTGACTTCCAGGTCATTTGTCCCACATAACGTGTGTGTGTGTAGAGGGGAGCGGAGAGTACTGATCCGAACGGTTTTTGATGTGAAAACAACAACAACAACTGATCCAACACTCGACGCGGTCGATTCCCGTGGTCACAGTTTAACTTACCCTAAATGTACACTCAAATAAAATAGCCCCGAGGGGTCCGCAAGTCAACAGAATTAACGACATATATTCTGGAGTCCTCCACTCCCTCTGCGCGCTATGCGAGGTAGCAACTGAGACTAGGAGTCACCATCGCAGGCCGGAGAGAAAGAAGTACATCCCCTTGGGTCAATCGTGGTACTTCACATCGCAAGCAGTGACAAGGCCGGCTGGCACAGAAAAAGAGAGAAAAAAAGCAATCAGAGAAAACGAGAAAAAAAATAAAAGGAAACAGTAAAAGGCCGTTCCGTACGGTTTGAAAAACTCCAGTTGAAAAAATGAAATTTTCAATTCCCAGCCGAACAGAGCTTCGTACGGTTTGGAAAATCGATTTTTTGGAGAAATGAATTTTCAACTCGGACCAAAAACAATTGGAAACGCTCTGCGCAGTTGAAAATTCCAGAATTTTTCAAGTCGCGACCGAGTTAAAAAAGCTAGTTGGAAATCCAAACCTGGGGGGAGGGGGGGGGGTGCATCACACAGACCCCCCACCACACCTGCTTTGGTCGCTGGAAGCACCCGACAGTGCACAACAGCGCACCACTAAGCAGCACAGCGCCTCACACGCGCAGACCCGGTGCTTTGTTGTCGGCGCGGTGCGCCCGATATGGGGGCCGGCGACGATCTGTTGGAAGCAATAGTGCTGTCAGTCGCGTTGGCGGCTTTGCACCAGATCCAAGAGGAGGATGGTCGCCGGCGCACAGCACGCTCGGTATCCTAGTGGGATGCTGTGCCGTTCGCGCGCTTGATCACGGAGCACGCGTACCAGATGGCCGCATTCTGAAGGATGTTCACGTTTTTGGCTGTCGCCTTGTCGCAACCGAGTATCGACCGCAGCAGCGCATCGGAGTAGTTGTTCGCGCCTTGCAGCAGCAGTGGTTCCACTAGCGGCATGATGTTGCGTCGTCTGGCGGGGGTGTAATTGTGAANAGTGGACCAGTACACATACCTCGGAGTAGAGATCGCAAAAGACTGCTCGTGGAATGCACACATGTCCAAGGTAGCGGAAAAGAGCAAAGCACGAGCAGGGAAGCTGCACCCAATACTCGCAGACCGGCACCTCGATACACGCATCAAATTGACGGAAGCTGACATGGCAGTATCGCATGTGCGGGATGGGAGAGGAGAGGGTGCCGAGAATTGTATGGGAGGCGAAGTGGGCAAACAAAAAGCGGGGTAGACAACCCACGGCATGGGTCAGGTTGTAGAGAACGTATGGAAGGGGCTCGACATCGACGAAGATGAAACACTGGAAACGGAGGGTCTACAGGGGTTCAAGGAGAAGATATCTGTTGCTTGTGCCGAGAGAGAACAGAATCTAAGGAAAGAATCCAAGGATACGGAAGGTCTAGAAGTGTACGGAATGTTGAAGGAAGGAATAGGGTTCAAGGATTACCTACATGGACCAATGGATGCAGGAACAAAGCTTCAGGTCAAATTCAGGACCGGGACATAGGCCTTCGAGAACGTCGACGACGACATAGGACGGTAGACGACGAAGATGACGAGTTCAAATGTGATTGCGGCTTCGGATGCGAAGACCGTGTTCATTTAGTCTCGGAATGTCCGTGGTACAAGAAGGAGAGGGAAGTGTACGTGACTGAGCTGGGAAAAATAGATAGGACGTACAGGGAGATGTTTGAGGCATGGAATTGAGAGGAAAGGACGGTAGCTGTACTGGGGCATAGGAGGTGAGTTGAAAAGGCGGGATGAGATATCGTTAGGATAGACAGACTAGGGAAGACATTTTTTGAGCCACTTTTGGCAAAGTAGAAAGAAACGATTGGCCATCGGTGATCGGTCCTGTGGGAACAATGCTTCGTCCTCTCGAGGACGCGTGGTCAATGGTCTAACCGCTAAGGCATGCAAACCATAAGAGCACGCCCCCCCCCCCCTGTTTTTAGCGTTTCCAGTTGCGTCGATCCCTAAGAAGGCTGCTCTTATTTTGAGTTTTGATTTTCCGAGTTGGATCTGGGAATTGAAAATTTCAACTGGAGTTTTTCAACTAGAATTTTCAAACCGTAAGAAACCGCCTAAGGACCAAAAGGGACCAGGCTGAAAATATCAAGAAACAAGAGACGGGAAAAGGCACACGGTGGAGGGACTACTAACGAACAAGCAAACACGCAAACATGGCCACCCACCAGCGATACATTGTAATGGTACGTCATCACTAGTGGGGGGTTGGTGTAATGGTTCAATGTTGGGCGGGGGAAATAAGCCAATACAAATTCAATGCGGCACGTATCGCACCACTCGGTCCGTCTCTTCTCGTTTGCTTTCTTCCCTCGCCGTCTCGTCCGTCTCCTGCCCCCCTCCCGCCCCATTGGTTGTTGGCTTGTGGTTTCGTTTGAGCGCCCGTTGTCGGCTGGCCTCTTCTTCCTTCTCGTGCCAGGAGGTCATGAACCTCTCAGCTCACTGCAGCACCCCCTTATGTCTATCCGTCGTTGATTTATGTTGGCTTGCGGACCCTTCGGGTCCATTTTATTTTGAGGTACGTCAGCCTGTGACCACGACCACGGGAATCGCTCGGTCAAGTACCGTATATGACACAAGATAACCTACCCCCTGGACCAATTTTTTCAAGCTCGATTGTTGTTGTTGTTGTCTTCACATAAAAAACCGTTCCGATCTCTCTCTACCCAGTACCTTCGTATGTCCGTACTGATCCAACACTCGACGCGGTCGATTCCCGTGGTCGCAGGCTAACTTACCCCAACAAGGTACACTCAAATAAACTGGCCCCGAGGGGTCCGCAAGTCAATAGAAATCAACGACAGATATTCCGGAGTCCTCCACTCCCTCTGCGCGCTACGCGAGGTAACAACTGAGGAGTCACCATCACGGGCCCGATTACGCCGCGACGAAGAGATTTATAAACGAAACAAGACATTTTGGGAAAGCTCTAGACGGGACAGCTTTAACGCCACCGTTTTCGTCGCTGTAACCCTTTCTGCTGTTGAGAAATCGAGATTTGCAATCAGTCCAAGGCGTGTTATCTCGTGTCATTTACGGTATTCGATCATTACGAACAAATGAAGTTACTGCGTAGAGAGATCGGAACGTTTTTTGACGAAGGCAAGAACAAATGAAAAGACTGCCTTTGTCGTGCCCAAACTTTTTTTTTTCGTCAGCATGACCCAACGAATCCATCTCTACAGTGTCGAAGAAGAGAGCTCAAAACTCAAGACATGAAGCTGCCCAACAGCCCAGTGCATGTTGATTGTCCCTATTGCTCCATCTCGGTAGTTTGGACCGATCATCTCTCCGGCAATAACGTTCTTGGGGAGTTCGCCATCGTTGCTTTTTGCTTGTCGACAAGATGGCGGCTACTCTTTCGTGGCGCAAGTAAAGAGCGCCATTGGTGCTTGATGGGCTCTGTTGAGCGGTGTGGGTGCTGTTGGCCCCATCACGCAACCATGCCCGCCTGACGCGGTCTCTGTAAGATGCCATCACGTATTTTCGACCGATTGTATGCGCCGCAAAAATACCAGACGTTCGCGTCGAATACGGGCCATAGCTCTCCGCTGAACGAAGGCCAAGGGTTTTGTCAAAAGAGTGACGCACGCTCTGCTTTGTTCCTGACGGGGGGTGGCACACGCCTTTGATCCTTCAAAATAGTATATGGTGCATGCACCCGTCATATGAATGTGAGATGGTGACGCAAATCAGAAAAATATACGCCACAGCAATTTCTCGAGCTCAGAAGAAATTCGCATGAACGGTCAAGCATACCTGCATGGTATGCATAGTTGATGGAACTTTTGGCGGACCCCGAGGATTTGTGCAGCAAGTTGAATCGAAGTTTTGTGTTTCAACCTGCGTCGCTAAGCACAACCAACATGGCCGGTTACATATCCTGTACGAATGATTTGCACACGTATGGAACTTCGTTTGAGTTTCGATCTGGTACACGCGCTTCCAAGCCTTGTCGGTTTCTCTGCACGCTCCTCACATGTTGTTCACATTGGCAATCGGTGACGATGAGAGTTCCATGGTGCCCGAGAGTGGGCAAGGACCTATTCCCAGGCAGACCGCTTTCACACGTCAAAGCGGCAACTATTTTTCCTGCGTTTGTTCACACACCGCAAACTGCGTTCATCAGCAGCATCATCTACTGAAAATTTGCATCTGGAGAAGTGTACGTGAGGCAAGCAATCGTCAGATTGATTGGTAGGGGGGGCGTGTAGTTGCCACAAGATGGTCGGTTTCACCATTATCTTGCAACCATCACGGCAAAATCATCATCATCATCATCATCGCTGTTGTTGCACTCCGCCATTATTTCCGTCATCTACATAGTCCTTGGGTTGAGCTGCTTGGGTCCGTGCGCGCTGTGCTATTTCAGCGTGTACAGCAGTATGCACGTGCCTCGGTTCTGTTGCGTGTTTGAATAGACCACCCGTATCACATGATGCGTAGCAGAAACTAGACAGTAGTGGTGGTGCTGTAGATGCAGCACACCGACCAAGCCCGCAAAGGCTCATGATGGTATCTATCTATGCTGTGGTCTCTGGTGCGAACAAGCCCGAAAAGGCAAACAACGGTGATCTGAGATCATACCTGGCCAGCCCTTATCTGGCCAACCCTTTGTGGAACATGACCAGCAGTTGGAGCTCAACGACGAAGCGGGGGAACCGGCCCTTTCCGGGGGGGCAAATATCACATCAAGAGCGAAAAGTGGTGAACGAGGCAGGGCAAATCTTCAGGCAGCGTGGTCTCCAAGGGAAATCCTGCTACACCTGCTGTGTTCGCCATCTGTTCGCTGCCTCCTTTTGTTATGATATCCGTGATGGTATATCGTACCACTTTTTGACGATCCAAGCAAAATTGTGAGACGGCAATCAACCTCTGAGAATGGTTACAAAATCCCTGAACGACCGCTCAAACCACGGCCCTTGTTGACCCGCTCCGCAGCATTTCGCCGCGCACGGCGGGGATCCGGCGACGATAGAGGCGCTCGTCACCCGGGGCGCGGAGCTGTCCGCGAGGACGACCCTCAAGGGCAAGTCCCCGCTGCACATCGCCGCCGGGCACGCGCAGACGCGGGCGGTTCAGGAGCTCGTGCTCCGCTGGGGGGCCGACGAGACGCAGCTCGACGGCCACGGGCGCTCCGCCAGCGACATCGTGGGCGTCCTGAAGAACGTGTTCGATCGGGGAGCCGGGCACGCCGAGGAGGTGGAGAGGATCAAGGTGATGCTGGCGAACGCGCCGGCGGACCGGAGGTGGAACCGCCGCCGGGACGTGGTGATGCTGGTGTCGCGCTTGAGGGGAAAGATCGCGCGAGAGCGCATCCTGCAGGAGACGGGCAGCTGCAGCAGCGCCGTCAAGAAGAGAGAGAGCGTGGTGGACGCGACGGAAGTGGCGGCGGCCGCAGTCCTGCTTGACCCTGCTGTGTTGGTAGTCGGAGGTGATGGTGTCGGTGGCAGGGGTGCCGATGCCGAAGTGCTGGGGGGAGAGGGTGGGGCCGTGACGGTCGGGCAGCAACAGGCGTCTGCGCCGGTAGGGATGGAGACGTTTCGTGACGCGGTGACGCGTTTAGCAGGGGAAGACGATATCGGGATCTTTTGCAGCGTCGTGAGCTTCTTGTGAAACCAGCAAAGGTGAGCTAAACCTGGGCGAAGAGAAGGCGCATAAGGTGAAAATGGGTTGTTTCGCACCAGCCGCTTCAGGCTACGCTTGCATGAATAGCGTGACGCCCAGTGTGGCACCGACATCTGTCACCCAAATGTTGTATTGGTACCGGGGGTAGCAGCAAAGCCTCAGCTCTAGGGTGCTCGAGTCGTGGCGCCATTCCCGTTATGGCAGGGGAGGCAATCAAACCTTTCGATGTGCGGTTCACGGTGGCACCGGTGGACCTTGCTTGACACCCTGGTTGGCATTCCGCCCCGCGCACCATGCGTGTAGCAAAGGTTCCGTGGATGCTACAATGCGATCGCACGGAGGCACCCGTTCGTTTGCATCCAGTCGAGGCAGACTAGTGAGCGTCGCCACACCTGTTGTGTGACGAGAAAACGTTTTGAAACGGGGGCTATGTCAATGACGCCGTTTGCACCGAGACCCGAACCTATGGCTCAACTCACCCTCGAAGGCAACTCTCACGAAACGGGCGTCCTGTACCGCGGCGCTCTCGAGGGTTGCTTTGAGGTCAATTTTGTATCGTTGGACAAATCTGACGCACATCCCTTGGTGTTTGAGAGTCTTCGCTGGATCGCGTTGTATTCCCTACTGTAGGCGCGGAGAGTACTTCGCGCTCCGTGCCCATTTCCCTGGCTAACCCAACGTTTCCCTTGTTTTGTTGCCGCTGATAGGTTGTCGACACCGGTTACTGGGAGCGAATCTCAACGAAGGCCATGCAACGGCTACGGCCACGTCTACCGCTGTATTTCGGGGGTCGGAATCTCTCGTGTTGTTCTCAAGACTTTGTTCCCGTTGCATTTAAGTGGGGATTCATACTGCTTGGCAGTCGCTTTTTCGTGAGGGGGGGTCCCCGTCCGATCCGTTCGTCTCGGTCGCCTGAAGCTTGTGTTGTGTTTTCCATTTGTGTATCAGAGTTTGTGAATCCGCCCGCGCCACTTGCGAGGATGCAAGTGTGGGTTAGTTGCGAAGCGTACCTGTTTTCGAAAGCTAAGCAGCTCTTCGTCGAATGGTGTAGATGCATCTTCTTCCGTTTCGAAGAGGCTGGGGTAGTGGCGAATCGTACGTGTCTGCGAAAGGTGGTAGTACATGCTAGGCAGCTCTTTGCCGAGAGGTGTAGCTGTGCTTCTTCCCTTCCGAAAAGTGTGAGAATCGTCTGCGATCTTGCGCATCGAATTGCAGAGAGGTTCAAGGTACATTGCCGCCAGGCACCTTTCTATTTGGAGGGCCTACCCGACAGTGAGGGACGATTTCAGTAATATACCGCTTGAAACGGTCTTGTACCTCGTGGGGGAGGGCACCGTATGTCATCTTCGGGGGGTGCCGTAGATTATCGCGTGGGGCTATCTTAGATCATCTTGACGGTCGTATGTGGCCACCCAACGATGACCCCCTCATCTTCGTGACGGTTTCAGATAGCTGGTCGTGTGTAGCCATTAACGAAGCAGGAGCGAAGCCCCTTCTTCAGTCCAGACGACGTTCTTGAGCTTGGCGGCATCCAGGTCCCAAGACCTCAAATATCGCAGCATGTGGAGTCTCTTCTCTCTGTTGTGTTTTCACGCGTTGTTGTTGTGGCTGCCGTATTGCTGCATGATTTGCGCTGATTTGGCGCCGTCAAGACTGCTGTGGTACGCTCTCAGGCTCGCTGTTCCACCGTGTAGAGTCGTGGTCACTGGTTTCAAAACGGTGACTAGGAGCAGTATTTATTTCCTAGTTTCGTGGAGTGAATCGATTTGTCGCACGGAAGGGCTTCTTCTGCACCTAAATTCTAGATCATTGGTATTGGCCCGTGAACGTGTCCCGAATGAATTGGTTGCGTCCTTATTTATTCTGTTTACGTGCCTGCATGCGGCGTTCTCGGGCTTCATTAGATTCGTTAGTCAGTCTATACCCCAGGTAAGGAAATGGTTCGTGCCTCAACTTGGCCATGTCCCGCCTCGTCGCTTGAACGCTCTTGTTAGTTTTCTCCCCAGTGTGGTGTGTTTCTTGTCTGGCGTCTCTCGTTCCCTTGGTCGTGCATGGTGGAGAGTGTCGCTTCCTCTTGGTCCTAATAGGGGTTGGTGCACGGGCTCTCCGGTGGCGTATACCGGCGGAGGGACGCGTTGTTGCTTCCACCTTCGTTCCAAAATGTTGATTCATGCCGTTCCAGTTGTGTTTCCTTGTGCCTTAGAGTGTAACCCACGGTAGCAGAAGGTCGTGATGGTCCCCTCCTGTCCGTACTTGTGTTGGTCTGTATTTTTTCTGTGAAAGGTATCGCCGTCGTTGTTCTTGTTTTATTTTGATCCTGTGTTGGTGGAACAAGCAAGCTTGGCGTGGGATATACATCCTCAACAATGGTTATGTCGTCATTTTTCCTTTTGTTCGTGTCGTCTCATGGGTCCCGGCAAAGACTTCGGTGTTCGTATCCCTGTATACCTCCGTGAACAACACGGCAGATTTATCGGGGCGCCGTGTGTTCACGCTTGGTTTTCTCAGACCGGCTTTATTGGTACGCTTTCTTTCGATCGGGTGGGTGGAAGTCGGGTGACGCTTGATAAGTCGCATATTTCGGCGTGTTTGCGATGCTGTGACGTGGTTGTGGGCATCGTGCGCCAACAGACGAAGCGTTGCAAGTACCAAGCCAACAGTACGAGGGAGTACATAACGCACCTCACACGACACGTGATTAATAGACGTTGCGGAAGGGTATTGTTTGACACCAGACATTTTGGATCTCTTTTGGTAGGCGTAGGGTAAGAATCTTGTTTGAGGCATTTTCCGCAAAACAACGATAAGATAGTCGAGGGGTGTCTCGATTTTATACTTTATGCGAATGTTAAGTTGGGCACGCTTCTACGGAGGCTCGCTGTCGCCGCTCGTCCTTCAATGAAACGAAAATTTACGGCGCATGCATATGGTCTGGGCGGTCAGACGTGTGCAAGCTGAGGATAACGGTACGCAAATGTACGAGAGGTTCCAATTGGTATGGGTTTGGAAATATATTTAGCAGTAGGTAAGGTGTTCTGGAAGCACCACGATATAACAGCTGAGGTTTCATGTTGTCGCTGGTGTTTTTGAGGGAGTTCCCGAGAAGAGCGCAAACAGTCAGGATCAGCGTGCTCGCTGTATTGGTATTTGAAGCGCTGCATGGAGTGTGCAGCAAGTACAGTAGTAGGACGCGTGTTTGTTCACGTGCGGCGGAATGCTGGAGAGGAATGGGGGAGAGACCCACAATGGGGCGATAAAGCCCCTGCTGTGTTTGTGCGTTCGATTGACCAAGGACGTTCGTTCATGAAATGGCAGCAAAGGAAAGCCTATGCTGTGTTGCACGTAGCGCAACATGTTGGTATTTGCGTCATCAGAGTGTAGTTTGTATGTTCAGACATCGCTAGATCTTACGCCCTGAGGCGCAAATACGTGTTGTGTGGTTTTGTTTCAGTTCGCTGGAGTGGAGGTGTGAAACTATACTACATCATCTCGATGATGTAGGTTACGTGTTCGACTGTCCGTAGAGCAACGCGAATGGGCGCGCGAGGACTTGAAGTGAGATGTCATTAACACTTAACAGTACTAGTCTACAACATGTTCTCTTTGCTACTTCTCCGGCGATGCTGTCAGTGGTGCATGCAGGGAACATAGGGTCGTCTTTGGCCGACGATCCACTTTCTTCGTCGAGGAATCCACACCAACCGCCGGTCGCCGGTCTTTCTGCCTATCTGTGTGGGCCAATGGTAAGTAGGCAACCACGACAAGTATCTAGAATATAGATTTTCATAAGGGGTCGTTACCTTACTTAAAGCGTAGGTGCCATCCGCGATACCTCGCATTTGCAACGGCGGGCGGCGACGAACTGCTGCTGTATCCTGAGCGCACATGCTTGGTGTCGACTGATGTAGCTAGCTACGTTTTGTTTCCTCGATGGTAGCATCCATCCGCGAGCCTCACTAAGAAAACCGTATTTTTTCTCTGCACATCTACATGAAGGAGTAATGTAGGAGTAAGCTGACCACGCGAACCCAGCAATACGGAAGGAAGTGGACATACATGTGAGTTGATGCTCACACAATAGCCCACAGCTACTCTTGACGGAGCTAACCGGGAAACACCGGGGAAACAACTACTGGACACACCTTTTTTGCCCCCCAAACATCGAACATCGACGGACGGCTATGCAATCTTCTGTAGTCTACGGAGAACGGGGGGCGCGCGCATGGGGCACAGCAGCATCACACCATCACGTCTTCGGCAGATGCAAGCAGCAGCGACAGGCGACAGGCGACCTATCCATATCGCACCGCCGACTTACGTGCTTTGCTGTGACTCCCCAAGAGGAACACAGCAGTGCACCACTAAGCCCATCCTCAGGCTGTGCCGATCCATCTCGGTGCCAAGTACACCGCCCGGTGCAACGGGTGCGTTGCTGCGTTGCCACCACCAGCACCTGGCCCTCGAACCGGTACATCTTTCATTTTTCTTTCCCTTTGCTACTTCAAGCAATCGATACGGCGGTACACACACAGCAGCTCAGCGGGACCTTTGCCGAATGAAGCCATCCATCTCCATCGACCTGCCAGGGTGGTGCACCCTTCAACGAGATCCCAAAGAAGCTGAAAGCGACGAGGTCAGTGGTGAGCGGTAGTCAGCGCTCACATCCCCGCATTGGTACAGGAGATTCGCAGGCACGGTGTGTTGCTCCGATCCCCCTATCGTATCTACTACTTCGAAGTACTTCGTAGATGTACAAAAACGACCTGATTGTACCCCGTACAGCAGCAGGGTTGCATAAGATACCACACGCACCTCGACGTTTTTGTATTTAGCCCGGTTACTTCATGAGGAAGAAGGTACCAAAATGAAACGACGGGTTTCCAGAAAGCTCTCCACGAGCCAGTTCCAGCACCGCCACTTTCGGCACCGTCACTGCTATTTATCCTGGACAGCAATGTAGTGTTGAGGGGGTGTGGTATCTTGTGCACGCAATGTAGGTTGCCTTCGAAGTCCGGCAGGCGGAGAGACTAAGTGTGTTATATTGGTGAGCAGAGACCCGCGGTGGTTTTGGAGTACAAGGCCCCGTTCTGGGTGTGTCACTTTGCATAGGGCGAGAGTTTCCAATAGTTGCACATGGCTTGGACGCACACTATGTATGCTGTCGTCTACAGCAGTAGTACCTCTCCGGCGTGTTGCTTGGCCACCTCGGGGTGGTGCGAGTCCTGTCCTATCTACCATCTTCGCGCCAGCTTATAGTCCAACATCTTAGAAACTATGGATGCAACCACTGAATAACTACCCGTTGGAGACAATACCCCAGTCAAAGGAATGCACTTCGTATGTCTTATTCAGTCTTGATGAATAGAGAAACGCACCAGCTGAGTGCTGGGCTTGCGATTACACCCAAGCTACCATGCCAGTCGTGTCACAAGTTGCACCAGGTGTCCACGCCCCGGCAATAACTTTCGAGCTTGACATTGAGAACTGGTGCTGTGGGGTCTGGTATCTTATTAATCAAGCAACCTATCGCAGATGATTCGCTTAACGGGTCTATGCGATTGCCGCCCGTCTCATCTCAGCCCCTACAACCTACACGCCCCCGACAGCAGCTCCTGACCCTAGTGGATGACGTGGCCGGCTCGGTCGGCACTCACGACCTCGATGGCAGGGGTTACTCTTCCAACAGCAACGCGAGCGGGGAAAACTCCGGCAACGGTGACAATGAGAGTGACGATGACGACGACGCAATCGCTCGGCTGTTTTCCGTTGGCGGGCTCAAGCGGAAGAGGAGCTCGGACTCGCGCCAGCAGACAGGGGACGGGGGCCAGGTACGGCCGCTTGCAGCAGCTGCCATTAGTACATTAAAGCGAAACGGCGTGTGTGTGTGCGACGCGCCTAAGAACGCAACTGATGCTGCTGTTTGAAGCTCTCAACTCATCGCCCGAGGAAACGGCGTGCGCAACGGCGGCAAATTTGTCCGCGATTTCTTTCTCAAGCCTGGGTTTTCTGTCCCATGGTGTTGGGACTCTCTTTTCTCCATACAGGATTTCCCTATCACACACACGCCCAAGATACCCTGAACGAGTGAACAGGAAAATTTATATGACCCCCGCCGATTCTTTGCTCGCCACCCCGCACCACAGACGCGCAGCAGCGGCAGCGGTATCGCTGGGCGCGCGGGGAGGGGCACCGCAAGATCTAACCTCGAAGCCGAGGCGTACGCGGACTGGCCGTGCGTGAGGTGCACCTTCATCAACGCCTTCACGGAATTCGCGTGCGGAGGCTGCGGTGGCGCGAACAAGAAGCGGGACCGCTTGCTGCGGGAGAGGAGGGAGGAGGCCGAGAAGCTGAGCAGGCTGCAGACCGCCCGCCGACGTCGAGACAGGCGAGTCTTGAGCGCCTGCTTCCGCCGCTGTAGCAAAGTTGGACCCCAAGTCCAAGTGCATTGGAGGTGCACCCGGTCTGTCTTGCACCGCAGCAACGGCAGGAGGTTGTGATGTTGTCGCGAGGCCGATGGTACTTCGTGTTTTCCTTTGCAGCATTTTTTTATTTTTTCGACCGTGAATAGCTAGTCTACCATTTTCGTGGGAGAGATGTTTTGTTTTGGTCCATCAAGGACGCTGCTGTGCTCTCTTGGAACGGATGAAACCCCCAAGCATGGAAAAGTGGGAGCGCTTTACGGGGTAATTCAAGAAGTCGTTTCTTGTGGCGGACCTCGGCGCGTACATAACCATTTACGAGTTGTCTTACGAGAGTTTGGTGTTCGGTAACCGGTGCTCTGTTTGCGTGACACACGGACAACGAGACGCACTACGCTGTTGGCATCAGGTCGTCCCGATCGCGCGGAATCCCCGAAACCAGGTCTCTAAAGGAGCAAGCGTTGAAGGACGTGTTGGAAGACAGCAGCGACTCCGAAAACGACGACCACAACCGGCGGAGAGAAAGCCCAGCTTCCCATACAATGAAACCGGTCGAGGACGAAACACCGGTGTCGACGGTATCCGCGTCGGAGACCACGAGCGCCGCTCCGGCAGATGATAACACCGGCCGGGCGAAGACCCTGCAGCAGCACCCAGGTACTGGTGGCGGTTGCGTTATCAGTATTCTCCCTCCCGATCTGTTACTGCAGTGCGCGGAGTATCTGGGAGACGCTCGTAGCCTTTGCCGCGTACGCGAGGTCTGCGTCGGGTGGCTGCTAGCCCTTGACGACCGAGAGGCCGGGAACCGGCTCTGGCGGCCGCTGTTCTACCGCCTTCGCGCCAGCGGTTCGATCCACAAGGCCACCGACGCCACCGGGCAGCAGAACCGACAGCTCAAGGTTTATGACCTTGGCACTACGCCGCCAAACCGCGGCAGCAGTGCGTCGGCGTTCGGGAACGGCCTCACGGCAGGCGTGTCCACGCCGAGCCCCTCGCTGAAGACGAGATTATCGTCCGGAGGGCCCGCTGCTTTGGCGGCAGGGAAGGGGACCCCGTGGTCTGCGGGCTCGGGTTCCGCGGCGGCGGCGGTTGTTGCTTCTTCGTGCGTGGTATGCGGCCTGATTCAGAGGGACGGGTACTCCGGTAAGGACTGCGAGATGTGCGCCTCTGCCTTGGTGGTGGTCCGAGGCCGGGAATCTCCGGCCATGCCGCGACTGGCCTACACCCGGGTCAACCTATCGGGAGGGGGCGGCTCTTCTTCTTCCTTGTCCTCCCCGACGACGATGCGCCGGCAGCAGCACCCGGGATGGCTAGCCACCGGGGCCGGATCTTCTCCGTCCCCTGATCTCCGACAGAAGGGACCTGTCGGGGGCATCATCCCCCCCGGAGCGACCGCCGATGGTGCTCGCCAGGCGGAGAGGAGCAGCGGCAGCGGCAGCAGCAGCGGCGGCGGCGGCGCACAGGGCCTCGAGGAGGAGTTTGGTGGGGGTGCGCGCAGCGTTGACTGGCATTTCCTGGTGAAGAGACTGGCGGAGGAAAAGCGGATCGCCCGCGGGTGGGGGTCCCTGCAACACGGTTGGGTGTGGCTCCAGCGTGAGCTCCAGGTGAGAAGGGGCGGCGTGATGGTTGGCGCGGATGACGTCGATTTTGTATCATTCAGGCTTTTATGTTTTCGTTCTAGAAAGGGGTACTGTGGATGGTTGGCTTGTGACCACGCAAGGCGTCCGCGTCAGTTCGACCAGTACGGATATTAGAAGGTACTGAGCGGAGACCGGGACGTTTCTAATGTGAAGACAGCAGCAGCAACAACAACAACAACTACCAACAACAACGGGCAAGCAGGTGTGTGGTGGAAGGACCTCCCTGTTCTCGCGCCCCCTTTGGTGCTGTGCGCGCTGGAGGTTCGTTTGTTCCGAACGTTTGGCAGCGGGCGAAAGGCTTGGTATCCGTTGGCTCATTGTGGAACCGCTTGTGTGACTACTTGTCCTCTTGTGGAGTGTGTTTGTTGCTGCTTTTTTGCTGATCCCGCTACATACACGCGCATGACAGTAGTATTTGGTCGGCTCCGCGCGAGCGGCCATCGCAAGCCCGGCGAACCACAGCAGTGTATGCATAGACTTCCAAGTTGAACCAACGTTTCCTCCGACTAACAACTGGTCTGCCTGCGCCCCCCTCCATCTCCACGCCTGATTGTTTCCGTGCAGAACATGCTCCGTCGACGACGTGGACACGAACAGCTCGGAGCCGCTCCCTCCCTCGCAGCAGCGGTGCCCTCCCCCCCCCCTCCTCAAGTCGAGCCAGCCGCTCACTTTAGCGCCTCAGGGGTAGGAACGCGGGGGGGAGCCTCCCATCCCGGAGCGCAGCAGCAGCAGCAGGCGAGCACTCCTACGGCGGCCGGCCGGGCCGCAGCAGACGGCGAGCCGGACCCCAGGATAGCCCGCCTCGTCCGCAAGCTGTCGACCAAGAAGTGGGTGGTCCTGTACGACAGCCTCAAGGCCACCTTCACGCTCCAGGCGGAGGGCATTGCCAGGGAGGTCGTTTTCGCGGCCGCGGCTGCAGCAGCCGGGGCCGCCGCTCGGGAGGACCAAGGCAAGGGAGTTGTGGATGCGTGCGGGAGGCCGGGGGCTTCTGCTGGCCTGGAAGGGCTGAAGGGATGCGTTGCTGCGTGGGAGGCGTACAAGGATTGGTGCGAGGAGGTGAGAGCAGGGCTTGCGTATTTTCTTGATTGATGGCATCGACCGCGCGAGCTGACCGGCTCACCGATGAAGACACGTCAGTCGCGTGGAACGGGATAGAAAATACGAACGCTTCCTAGGCAAAGGGTAAGGGTCCTACCGGCAGGAGGAGGCGCAGGAGTTGGGCCGTGCGTGTGTGTGTATTTCCAGGGCATTTTTTTTGTCAAGGTTTGTTTTCCTTGGCCGCTGTGATGAGCAATAGTCGAGTCGTTGGCGGAGGCTGTTGTTTTGCGATTCGATCCTAGGCGTTTGGGACACTGCTGTGCATTCCAGGAGCCTCTTGGACGTCTAGCTTGCCGCCTTCAAGATTGCAGGCGATTCAACAAACCACGTCGCACTTTATCTCGATCATGTGCCTCGCTTTTTCTGTCTCTGTCTTTCTCTTTCCGCCGACACGCGGTATCCGGTGCTGCAGGTGGACATGTACTGTGAGCTTCTCAACGAACACATATCTGCAGAAAGGTACCGCACGGCTGGCGCCGGATGCGGTCGGGGGGACAACACCCCCTACATCCGAGACACGGCGCTGATAAGCTTCCGGCATTCCTTCGCGCTAAACGTCCAGGTATGCCACCACTGCCTAGAGAATCGGTATCGTCAGGTTTGGAACACCCCGATGCCTGTCTTTCGTTTCGGCGCCTGCTTTGTTTGGCTGGCTGTCAACGTGTTCAGGGCTTCTTCACGACTCTTGGCTTGACGTGCACGTGTGTTGCGAGCAATTTGCTTGTGTGTTGCGAGTACTGTGGAAATTTGTACAGCACGCGCCGTTGGACCGATATAAGAGCTCGATCGCTCTCGGTTACGAGAAGATGGCGTCATCATCGAGCAGCTAGTGTCAACAAGCCTTCGATGATTTTTTTCTGGCGAAGTCCACATACAGATAGCGCCCGCACTTAAGAACTTAGCAGTTGAGAAAAGGAGACTCGAAAAAAAACACAAGGTTAAAACCTAAGCACCATTTGTGAGCCCGGATAAGAACCCCAACACTAAAACCTATGTAGCAGCCATTTGTAGCCCATAAGAGGAACTAAGAACCCCAGCCTCCGCCGAAACTAGAGGCTTTCAAGTGCGGGCGCCATCTGTATGTGTTGCTGATGTTCTTTCGCTGATAAGTTATCGAGTGTAGTTGATCACTGTGTCGTCTGCGGCATGCTCGAAAGTTTGCAAGCGTATACCACAGAGAAGGTAGTTGCTGCAATTGTTCCTGGGCAACACACATCTGACTGATCTCACTCCGATGCATTGTTTCTGGGCAACGCACGTCTGGCTGATCTCACTCCCATCCGTGCTTCAGTAATCACAACGGCTGCCTTGCAGCGATCCTTGCGCAAGCCGGCCTTCCTACCATTCCGCCTTCCTACCATTCCTCGCGCTCATCAACCGTTCCTTGCGTCCTTGCGCATCTTTCAACCCGCCAATGACGCTGACACAAACACGCAGGTTTGCGCCATGCTGCGAATGGCGATATCCAAGGGCATGCCTACCCCAGGCACAGACTCATTCTCGGCTACCGGACCACCCCCTAAGGCCGCCCGATACGAGCCCGGTAGAGGCGGTGCCAAGCAAGACAACCCGAGATCAGACGCGGCGACGTCGACGGCCGGAGATGCCGACGAGCTCTTCACCGACCTCGAGTTGATGGAGGACTCAAGAGCGATCGATTTTTCCGTCAGGTCGTTCTCGGGGCCCGGCGGCGGCGGGGGCGCGGGCGGCGGGCCCGGTAGCAGGGGGGCGTCGACAAACAGCGGTGCCTGTGGCGGCGGCGTTGCGGGCAGCAGAGCGTTGAGGGCCGCAAGCGCCAGCCGCTTGTCTGTCGGGTCATCTCGTCCGGGCAACTACTACGACTGGTTTCTCAGCAAGCTGGAGGGGAAGGAGGCGGGGATAATCCGCGGGGACATCGACGCTCGCGGGAAGCGCGTGGTGCGGTCGCCGCCCCACGGGGAGGGGAACGGGGCGACCGGCGGGGGTGCGGGTGGCGTGTTGCAGACAGCAGCGACTCAAGCGGAACTGTTGGAGGTTGTCGGTGACATGGTGGAGGAGTTGGACGTGCCGGATGACGCCTTGTCGAAGGACAGGCACACGCAGGGTGAGCGTAGATCCTCGTTGTAGTTTCGTGCAACAGTCGATTTGCTTGCTGGAGTGGGCCACCACTTGTTGTTGTACTTGGAATGTCTTCGGTTGAAATTGCCGCGAAGTCGTTTTTGGACCTATGCTAGCTGCGCTCGTGGCGGAAATTTATGGATTTTCTCCGGATTTTTGTGCTGCTACATTGTTGCCTTATTATTTCTCCCTGTGTAGTAGTCTACGCAGATTTATGTAAGGTTAGGGTTCAAGGTTCAGCTTCAAAACGGTAGTAAGTCCGGAGGCCCACGAAGATACAGTTCGGAGTGAAGTGCGTCCTCATACAGGAAGTAATGCCGCCAAATTCGAACCGGAAGGGACACAAAAACAAGATCGAAGAAAGCTTCTGTAAGCGTCCGGCTGCGCAGGTGACGTGTGTATGGCGTCGATCAGTCTCGTTTGGCGTGGCCTGTCAAATGGGACTGTTAGAGGTGCTACACTCCAAATTGCCCAGTTGGTCGGACCAGAGGATGTTCGTCGTTAAAGTCAACAGCATAACAGCAAGAGAGCACACCATTGTTCGTTAGTCCTTAAGTGCTTCTCAACTGCTCGGCCCCTTTCTTCTCGTTCCACTCCCACATCAAAACACGTTTTGTTCCTGGCAGGCGCGATGCGAAGGCTCCTTCTTCTGCCCGTGAAGCGTTGGCAGGCGGCGGCGGCTCGCAACGACAACGCCGAGGGGGACCCTCGAAACCTGCTCATGGCAGGCCTCTCCCCTGCCCCAGGCAAGGAGGGTTTCCACCGCTTGCGCGGAGGGGCGGCGGGCCGAAGAAGGAAGGGTGCCCCACCGATGTCCTCCCTTGGGAAGGACGCCGGGAAGTCTTGGGAGCATCTCAGCACCTTCTTCGGCTGAGGTTATCCCCGCTCGCTCGCTGCTTTGTGAGAGGTTGTGCGGTTTCCGTGGGTGTTGCGGGGTGGGTGCGGACATGGAGCAAGCCTGGGGGCATAGGCGTGGGTCAGGTGCCTGCTGGCTGAAAGCTGGTTTGTGTGCTTTTGCCAGCGTCAACACTCGTCGTGTAGCAGCGCCTTTCGCTTCTACATTCTAACGTGATTTGCCGAGAATGTGAAGAAGTTCATCCCTGAAAGTATTGATCGTTGTTAAGAAATATGGATTGTGTTTGGTACTTAGCCACGGCTCGGAAGGCGGAACGGCCAGGAATACACGTGCTTGTCGGTGTTATCCGATATAAGCGTCGTTTGTGTCGACTTGTGTCTGCCACCATGGCTTGAGGGACAGGAAACGATTACCATAATATTACGATGCGTAATTTTTGCGTTGTAGTTTTTGACTTGCAGATTGTGCTCTTTTTGTATCGATGAATAGTTCTGGTGTATGTCAAGCACATGCCATATGATGTAAATATCGACGAGCGGAGGTATTGTTCAATAGCGTAGTATTATCCCTTACGGCAATAACGTAAGAACACCACGAGGTGCGAGTGTTCCAATTTTGAAGGATTTCGAATATTTAGTCAAGTTTCGCTCCGCGCGAAGGATCATGCCAAATCGGAACCATTCGCCGATGATACTATGTACTCGTTAGCAAATGAGCTACCAACGAGAACTCGTCGCTGGCTTAAGTCGTTTCACGAAAAGGGGCGACGCAATCTTTAAGGCGTGGTGTCCGCATTGGATGTTTTCGCGGCACAAGAAGGGTCTCCGACTGCTTGGAACCTCTCGCTACCGCTGTTGTATACTACAGGGCTACCTTGCCGGTCTGCTCTACAGGTGCTCCCTCCCCTTCTTCCTGTGGTTCGTTCTTGAAGGACTTGGCGATCTCGCGCATGGTAACGTAGGCGACGTTGGCCTTGGCGCTTTCTCTCTCCGCCTTATCTCGCTCTCCCTTCCATCTGTCCAGCGTGTCGGGCTCGGTCTTGTTGTCCGCCTCGAGTAATCTCACCTGGAAAGAGACGGAAAAAAACAAGTAGTAGATGGACGTACTACGGTAGCAATCGTATAATTTCGCAGTGGTACATTTTCCTGCCGAGACCAACAGAGGAAGGCCGCCGGTCGCCGCAGTCGGTAACCTCGTGGCTTTCAGATGACTCGGGACATATCGTCGAATCTCGACGCATTTTTTTTTGTATATTTAATTTGTCAAGGAACGTCCTAACAAGGACAGCGACAGAGGTGTGCAAGCAGCAATTTCGGGTTCACGTCGACAGTAGGTGGACGGCATTTACTTTCTCGAGATAAACACCCAGGGAAGCACTGCTGAAGGGCGGCGGAGAATAAATCGCTCGTGTGAAGCCGGTTGATTCGTCAAGAAACCTTGCTTAGTGGAATGCAAACACTGATGAGACTGCAAACACACAGACAGATCGTTTCCGCGTTATAATTTTAGCTATCAGAGTGACATCTCTTCATTGGCTAGCCGGTTAGCGTGGTAACTGTCAATGAGAGCAACACACGCAACCACGATACCCCGGCGTACCGCTATCAGGAAAAATGTCGAGTCGGGCAGAATTGCCGTAACACACGACCACACGTCAAAACAACCCGAAAATGTGTCGGAGGAACAACCATAGTATTATTTATGCTGTCATCAACCCCGTAACTCTGTATGTGTATATGCATATGGTATACATCACAGGGCACAGGGTCCCCGAACCTTGCCGGGACCTCGACTGCTTATGTTCAATTCTGATTAAAAACCTCAACAACACCCCTCGTAATACAGAGTCCCTCGTAGTCCAATGGTTAGGATACATGACTCTCACTCATGAGACCCGGGTTCAATTCCCGGCGAGGGAGAACTCTCTTTTTTTGGCCGACTCTTCGTCGAAGAGGTCTCCAACTCAACGACATTTCTAAGAATAGCGTCGTACAAGGTTGGTTGTTGACACATCCTCGTGTTTGCTATGCATGAAGTTTTTTGGCCCCTAGCCCCTAGTAAACCACCTTCCAGTTTTTGACATGATTCAATATTGTTCCAACCGTCTCAGGAGAGTCACATATACATGTGATGATGTGAGGCTCGTTATTAACGCAACGGAAAAGTCGTGCAATTTTCCACGGAACAGTGAAAAGAAAAACCTGTCTTTTTTCGCTTGTTCTATTCGTAATGTCATCGCAAAAAGTACGTTTCCTTCCCTGAATACACGCTTTGCTCGGCACACAACAGGTTGACTTGGTGTTGCTCACCATAAGAGTAGCGGTAAAAGCGCAATGGGCAGCACCCGACACAGAGGACAACACACTTCGAAAGATTCTATCCACCCGGCCTGCTGTTTTCAGTTTTTAGCAACAACAACAGGCAGGCGCAGGGCAGAGTGTCGCAACGTGGGTGTTGCTTGCGATTTCTTCAGTTTGCCAGCTCATTTTTCACGATTGCGACTTCCATCTTTGACCACCACCTGCCCAACGGTAGACGAGCTCAACAATCATAGGGCGGCAGCCGCGCTGACGGCCAGCATCATGTAGATGATCGCCAATCCGAAAGAATTACTATTAGCGTGTCGGAGGCCCTGTTGACGCTTCTGTAAAAACACGGATCCGTGAAAGTAGCAAGCCCCAACAAAAAATCCCGGCTCCTTCTGTTCACGTTCTCGGGAAAAACGCCTCCATAGTCTATATGTTCAAGAAAACGCGCTTCCGTGAAATGTTGTGATTTTTTTGTCGTGAAAAATAAAAATACCCCTATTAGTAGTGTGAGAATTCTACTGATCTACATGTAACAGCTCTCAACATATATATATACCTATGTTTTCTGTTATGACGACAGCAATAAAATAGGATATCTACTGGATGGTGACCCTCGCCAGCACCTCGAGTCATCGTATCGCAGGCCTAGCATCAAGGTTTCACCGCTGTGGTTCATCATGTTCGCTCGTTCGTGGATGTTGTCCGATGACAAAACCAACAACCAAATGAACACTCACCTTTCGATACATCTGTTTTCGGGTGTGTCCAGTCTTGTATACTACGCAGTCCCACGCGTCCAATAGCAAGACTACCAGGTCATTGTGTGGCACGTCTGGCATGCTCAAACCCAAGCGCCTCGCCAAGTTCAATGACCCCTGCAGGTACACGTGGGTACGCCCGGACGAGAAACCATCCATCGATTGCATGATCACCATCCATATCGTCTCAAGACAACATCAACTTTGATTTGGGGGTCATCGCACGCTTCATTCTTGCGAAGATATGGCTCCACACGCCACTATCGTTGCACAGAAAATAAACCTGTAAAGATTGCCACCGCAATTGCACCAGGGCTCACCATGAAGTCACCGCCTTTGGTCAAGCTCGTCAGGTGCTCAATAGATTCCGCCGCAAGCCCGTTGACCTCGAGCAAGTTGACGATCTTGGAAATAGCTCCTTGGGTTTCTTCGAGCAGTTCGTCGGCGCCGAGCCTATGCCGAGGTTTTCTACCCTCATCTTCCATCTCTCCTGCGTGTCGTATGTCGCAACAGACCCCGTTGCCTCTTTTGTCACGCTGCAGAGCCAAAGGCCCGGGTTGCCGTTGTCGAGTTGTAGTTTCCATTCAAATTTTGACGTTACAATATTCCTAAATACAAACACGCCTCTTATAACTCCGATTTCCCCCGCATTCATCTCTGTATGCGTAGCATCGTATTGGCTTCCGGCAGGGGAGGGAGACTGACTCCCTTGCCCGCCTCCCTCCTCGTACCCGCCTCACCAAGTCACCTCTACCAGCCACGTTGCCGGCTTCAAAAAGGTGGGGGTTAGTTGCAGTGGGATAGGGTAGTGAGAGATTGAGTTGTGATGGACAAACAACATCATTCTTTCACCCTCTGCTGCTCTAGACTCGACAACAACCAAGGTTTGATACTCTGTTCCTGCGATGCACCACATCGTACAAACGAGATTTTTGGAAACGTACCAGCTCGATGGAAGAGTGTCTAGGCCTGGTCTGTTGCCTTTTCGTCTCGTTGACAACCACTGGCTGGATTGCTGCAGGTATCAGCCCTGCCGCGCTTGCGTTCTATTGACGGTGTTTGCAAGGTTCAGATCAGGCAACAACTATCTGCGGGTTGTTCAACTTGGCCGCTTCGTGTCTTGCTGTTCCCCGCGGCGGAGAGCATGCAGGCACGCTCTCGTCGGCGTGGGGTCCACGTCTGCGAGTACGTTGAAAGGGGTTGGCGTGTGCATCGGCAGCGTACACCACATTGTTTTCAAGAGGCTACTGCCGTTGTTTGTTCTGTTCGCATGTGAAGATCTCTCTGTGTGTTTTATTATAACCATCGACCGCGCTAACCGGCTGACCAATGAAAACACGTCAGTCTTTGTGCGGTTGAAAACACAAAACACTTCTATCTACCATGAACTGGAACCCCGTGAGGGGGCAGCATGGGGGAGGTGTGTGTGTGTGTGTGTAAAGACGCGCAAGTACACCCACAGTACGCAACCTTTGTTGCGCTTGCCAGCCGCAGTTGATACATAACATCTGGCAGCGTGGGCGCAGTATTGCTCCATCCCTCTCCGTCCTCTCTCACCACATCTTGCGCCTTGCGTTCTTGATTTGTTCAGACAACGAGACCGCAGCATCTACGAGGGAGCAGACTGTCCTATAAGCATGCGAGAGGACTTGAGCGACGAGGACGTAAATCGCCTCAACAACGTGCGAAAGCAGATATGGGCGGCGGGATACACGGGCTTTTTCTTGGGCGGTGCCTGGGGCTTGGCCAACTGCGTCATCTATAAAGTGAGCCAGCAGCGGAGTATGCAAACCGTATCACAATTGAACTACTGTACAGCAGCATGGGGTGGTACATGGTCGCACGAGAAGCAAGGCGAGTAGGCAGATAGATACTGCTGTACGGTGGTGGAATGAAATGGTTGAGAGAACCCAACAGGAGTGTTGGCCCGCGCCCCTCCCCGAGAGATCTAGATGATGCGTTTACGGGCCTTCGTTCCCATCGTGGTGGTGCTGTACGCTGTACATGTGTGCCTTCTATGTTGTCGTGTCGAGCAGCAAGGGTGTCGTCGGGAGAAGCGCGCAACCCGATTCTGATGCCCTCATGGCAAAACTCTCTCGGGCAACATGGCGACGTCTCCTTCTGGAATGTGTGCTCGAAGGCGCGAGACGCACAGCTGACTTGAACTCCTTGGGTTATGTCCGAATCAAACAATGCACCATTTCACGGGTGCCGAACGGGCAACAGCATATGTGGCGTTTCACTGTTTGCACGTGTAGCGCTTCAAAGGCCACTGCTGTTTTTATGCACCCCTTGTTCTGTCCCCCTCCAATAGGCGTTACAAGCGAAAGCAGTCGAGCATTTTCCGAAGCAATCGGCCATCAAGTCCTTGCCCGTCTTGCAAAACAAGCACTACGTCATGTGCACGCTAGTGGCCGGGGCGACGGGGATGTTTTTGGGTGCTGGTATGGGGGGCATCAGAGGGAACGAACATCTTCGAGACATCTACGATAGAAGAACCGGTGGGGGGCTGACGGAACAGCAGGTATGTCCAGCAAGAACCAAAAAATTCCAAGTGAAAGTTGCTGAGCCCTCGAGCCCCGTACGTTCGACGTCGTTCTTGGCTGATACCAGACGACCACCTTCGCAACGTGTGGACAGTTTTTGTATTCTCTTTTCGGCATACTGTGGTAGGGACCTTCCGGCATTTTCTGGATTGTCACGGGTGGCGAAGAGGGTTATCCCACGAGATACCCATTCAGGAGGTTATTGCCATCTCGAAGAATTGTAGACTCTTATTTTAACTATTGCGGAGGTCTTTTCATGTGTCCGGCTTCGACCAACTAGAGATGGGCCTTCGGTATTTGGCAGCTGTGCGAGACCTGACACTCCCAGGCGTAGTCTACATGTTTGCAGTAGCAAGGCTGTGTAGCTCTTTGGAGCAGTACGCTTGCCAGAGTGATCCTTATGCGTGCTCTTGAATGATGACAACAATCGGAAAATTCCAAGGGCACTTGAATCTGA